TGAGTCTATGCTGATTCCTGTCAGTTAAGCATTACAATGTTTTCACTGAGCTTTTTATTTTATATTTATACCTCACTATTCTTGTAAAAAAGCTTCTGACAAAATTAGTATAATTACTTATTTGCTTTATTTTATATAATAGTTTCAGGGTAAAAGGATAAATATTATCATAACCATATGATTAGAAAACCAAACCAAGGTTTATTTGTGGTCTTTTTCTATCCTTAGGCTATATCTCATAAGATACAGATATATACACACACATATATACATATATTAATAATTACATTTCTGTGTTTTAAAGTAATTTGATAGTACTACCCAAAGTGATCTATAAGTTCACTGCAAGCACTATCAAAATCCCAACAATATTTTTGCAGAAACAAATCCAAAAATGTATATGAAATCTCAAGGGACCCTGAAAAACCAAAACAGTCTTGAAGAACAAAAAGTTGAAGGTCTCACACTTCCTGAATTCAGAAAGCAAGTTAGTAGGCAAAATAATGTAGTACTGGCATAAAGACAGACACCTAGACCAGCGCAACAGAATAGAGAACCTTGAAATGAACGCTCATGTGTGTGGTCAAATGATCTTTAACAAGGGTGCCAAGACCACTCATTGGGGGAACAACAGTCCCTTCAACAAATGATACTGGGAAAACTGCATCTCCACATGCCAAAGAGGGAATTTGAATGCTTATCTTACACTCTACATGAAAATTAACTCAAAATGGATTAAAGAACTAAACACAAAACCTAAAACCATAAAATTCCTTGAAGAAAACTTCATGACATTGGATTTTAGCAATGATTTCTTAAATATAACACCAAAAGGACAGATAATAAATTTAAAAATAGACAAATAAGACACCAAACCTAAAAATTCTGTGTATAAAGGGCACAACCTATAGAATGTAAAGGCAACCTGTGGAATGGCAGAAAGTATTTGTAAATTACATCTGACAAGGGGTTAATATCCAGAATATATAAAGAACTCCTACAACTCAACAGCAAAAAGACAAATAATCCAATTCAAAAATGTGCATAGGACTTTAAAAGACATTTCTCCAAAGATAATATGCAAATGACCAACAAACATAAGAAAAGGTGCTCAACATCATTAGTAGTTAGATAAATGCAAATCAAAACCACAGTGAGATACCACCTCACACCCATTAGGATGGCTATAATAAAATGATAATAATGTGTTGGCAAAGATATGGAAAATCAGAATTGTTTTGCACCGTTGGGAGTACCAAGTTGTGCAGCCCCTATGGAAACCAGTATGGAAGTTCCTCAAAAAATTAAAAATAGAATTACCATATGATCCAGCAATCCCACTTCTGGGTATACATCCAGAAGAACTAAGAACAGGCTCTTAAAGAGATATTTGCATACCCATGTTCATAGCAGCATGATTCACAATAGCCAGAGGTGAAAGCAACCCAAATGTCCACCGCCAGATGAATGGTAAACCAAATGTCATATATTCATGTGATACGGGATTACTCAGCCTTAAGAAAGGAAGGAAACTTGGTCACATGCTACAGCATAGATGAAAATTGAGGACATTATGCAAAGTGAAACAACTCAGTCACAAGAAGATAAATACTCTAGGATTCTGTTTATCTGAGGCATCTAACAATCAAATTCATAGATAGAATGGTCGTTGCCACTGGCTGTGGGAAGAGGAAATGGGAAGTTGCTTAATGGGTAGAGAGTTTCAATTCTGAAAGATGAAAAGGTTCTGGAGATTGGTTGTGCAACAGCGTGAATGTACTTAACACTACTGAACTGTACACTTAGAATGGTTACAATGCTAAATTTTATGTTATGTGTTAAACAATTTTTTTAAAGAAGTAATTGAAATAATGTATCTCTGTGAGTAAACCACTACCTTAACATACCATTTACACTCATTAGTTTCATTGTGCTTTCAATTCTTGGGGCTTGCTTTGTATTTATTTAACTTTGGTTTAATTCCGGTTTGTAATTGTGTGAAGTATTTACATAAATTCAAAGCCGAATTTACAAACAAGATACATTCAAGGAATTCTAACTTCTCCCCCAGTGCTCTCCATCCTAGTTCCTCCCTCTTTCTACAGGTAACGTTTGTGGATGGTTACCTCTATCTATTCTTATTCTCAACTTAGACAAAAAGTAGCACACCATGAATAGTTTTGTACTTGCCTCTTTTTACTTCACATACAGCTTGAAGATCACTCCATGGTAGTACACAGAGATACTCATTTCATTTCTAAAGCTGCATGTTTCTCCATTGTGTCAACATTCCATAGTTTACTTAGCCTGTGGATACCTGGGTTGTAGATAGATAGATAGATAGATGAGAACATCTATCATAAGTAATGCTTCAGTGGTAACTTTGGGTACGTGTCTTTGTATACAGCCACACTATCTCTTTGGGACTGATTCCTAGAAGTGGCACATCTAATATTATCAAGATGTCAGTTCTTCCCTAACTGATTGATAGACTCAATGTAATCCAAATCAAATGTAATCCAACTATTTGATGAATATCAACAAACTAATTATAAAGTTTATATGGAGAGGTAAAAGACCTAGAATAGCCAACACAATACTGAAAGAACAAAACAGAAGGACTGGCACAACCTAGCTTCAAGACTTACTATAGAGGTACAGTAACCAAGAATACCATAGTATTCTCGAAAGAACAGACAAACAGATCAACAGACCAAGAGCCCAGAAGCAAAGCCACATAAATAGAAGCAATTGGTTTTTGACAAAGGAGCAAAAGGAATAAAATGGAGTAAAGAAATCCTTTTCAGCATATGGTTCTGAACAATTAGACCTCTACATTCAAAAAAATGGCTCTAGATACAGACCTTACCTCCTTCACAAAAATTAGCTCCAAATGGATCTTACACCTAACGGTTAAATGGAAAACTATAAAACTCCTAGAAAGTAATATAGGAGAAAAGCTAGATGACCTTGGGTTCAGTGATGGCTTTTTAGATACAACACCAAAGACAGGGTTCATGAAATAAATAACTGATAATCTGAACTTGGGTGAAATTAAAGACTTCTGCTAGCAAAAGACAGTATGAAGAGAATGAGAGGAGCAGGCCCAGACTGGGACAACATGCGGGCAGAGAACACCTCTGATAAAGGGCTTACACAGAATATATCAAGAACTCTTAAAGCTTAACAAAGCAACAAAAGACACCCAGCTTAAAAACGGATCAAAGACCTTAACAAACGCCAAAATGCTTCTACCGTGTGTTCCAGCAATTGCACTCCCTGGTATTTGCTCAAATAAGCACAAAACTTTATGTCTACACAAAAAACTGCACATAGATGTTTACATAGCAATATAATGTAACCATAACTGCCAAAACTTGGAAGCAACCAAGATATTCTTCAGTTAGGTGAGTGATAAACTGTGTTATAACTGAATAATCAGTGCTAAAAACGAGCTACCATCTGTGTTCCCACTGACCTCTCTCTCAACGTGAGCCTTTAGACCCAAAGATGCCTACATCTGTTAGTTCCTCCTTCGTTGCCTTTCACTCTTGTAATTAGTTCCTTTATTAAACTGTCCTGATGGAACTTACCATTTGTTCCCCCATGAAAATGCTGACTGAATTATAAATTCTAGCTATCAAAGATAAACTTTGGCTTCCTGACACAACAGTTGCCTGTTTTCTTGTCTGTCTTCATTCCTGGATTTGGGGTCCATCACTGTATTCTCAGACTCAGTTGAGGGTTTGACCATAGTAAATGCTCGGTAAATGTTTGCTGACTGACTTAATGTGATTTCCCCTATTAGTTTCTATTTAAAACTAGAAACAGAAATCATCTACAAGAGGTATAAGCAGCTCTTCCAAATCTGTCACTCCAGAAGAATACCCTTTCTTGATCTGGCTTTTTTCGGAGACATACACATAGAGGAAGAACCAGTTCTTGCCATTTATTTCTCTTTGCTGCCCTTTTTCAGTCAGTTATCCCACTGCTGCTTTACTGAGTCCACAGCAAACATGATGATTTTCTGTACCTTGCGCAAACCCAACTGCTACTGCCCTGATCACATGGCTGTCTCGGTGTTTTGGCCTGTGTCTTCCCGGGAGAGAGGCTGAGGGGCCTGCAGGTAAAGAGGTGGGATGGAGGGTGGTATTTGGAGCAGGGACCTTCACTCCACAGCCCCTCTGAGGAGCAGGATCTTCAGCTGTGCAGAGGACAGCAGGGGTCCAGAGTGCTTGCAGCATCCTGGCTGTCATTAGGGAGATGGAAGGCAGGCACCCTGCTTGGTTGGACTCACAGAGCAGTCTTCACTGGCTTCAAGTCCAGCCTCCTCCTCACTTTCCCCTCCGCCTTCTCCCGGCTCCCCTCAGCTGCTGGGAGCTGCTGTTTTTGCTTCACCCTCCCCTGTGGGGACAGCTTTATTTTTTAAAAGTTTGTTTTTTTTCCTACTGGGACACAATTCACATAACATAAAATTCATCATGTGAAAAAGCACTTTAAGCACACAATTCAGGGGCTTTGTAGTAGGTTCACAGCTCTGTGAAAGATTCACTGCTAATTCCAGAAGATTTCTGCTTTGATCTTTGAAGACAGAAAATGAATGGAAGGGGATGAACCTCATTAAAAAGCGTCCTGTGTCCCAGAGGCATTCACGGTTTGGTATGTAAAGCCCCTCATTTGGTATTTTCTATTTATAACAGTTTTCCTCCTCAACAACCATGATACTGTTAAAAAATTTTCTTAAAGCTTTCACTTTATTTGAACTATTACTTTCTTAGTTCCATTTCATTTCTTCAGTATATTTTGAATCACTCCAGGCCAGTTAGTGCTAATGATAACAGTGAGCCACAAACAAGGCCCTGTCCTCTGTGGTTTGCAGCCAAGCGGAGCGGGCTTGACATCAGTAATCAGGTTATTACGGTGATGAGTGCTGGGGGGTAAATATAACAGGAAGACAACCAAGTCTGGGAGGCAGGGGCGCTTTCCTGGTAAGAGCAGTGTTAGAGGCAAGACCTGGGGCCTGAAGAGGCTGGGCTGGGGAAGGCGGCGGGCCAGGTCTGAGTGTAGCTGGTGTGGGGAGCCGAGGACCTCCGTCTAGTGCGGCTGAGCTTCAGGAGCTGCAGGAGAGTGGACATGATGACAAGCCACACAGGCAAACCAAGGGGCCTCAGAGCCCACGCTGCCAACTTGGGATTTACTTTCAGTGGGAGCCCATCGAAAGAGTTAATGTGGGGGTGGCGGGATTCATCCCGCGGTTGGAGACCACCTGGGAGGCTGCTGCAGGATGAGAAAGGTTGGCTGCCTGGCTTAGGACAGCCGTGAGGATGGAGTGGAGGGAAGAGATTTAAGAGACTTTTGGGAGGGGGTCTTGAGGGTGATTTACCAGCAAGGTAGATGGTCAGGGAACTCTGGTGAAGGGCAAGTGTGGACGGGGGAGTCATGGGTTCTCTTCAGGACAGGTTGGATTTGAGGTACCTGGGAAGCAGCTGCATGGAGATGTCAGGCTGGTAGTTGGGGTGTCTGGCAGCTCAGTAGACCAGCCTGGGCCAGAGAGAGAAAGTTAGGAGAGGCGGAAAGTGACTGTGAAAACACTCTTCATGTGCAGGTATTACAGCATCCAAAACACTTCATCAGACTACTTGTTCACCTGAGTTTCCTCCTGCCTCAGCGATTCTCACTTCGTTCTGCCCCTTCCTGGGTGTGTGTGACACCCTCTCCAGGAATGTCTCTCGTCATGTTCAATGACTCTCCCCCATCTAAAGCTCCTGGAGGGTAGGAAGGTCTTACTTATCTTTGCATCCCCGGGATGTATTATAGAAAATCACTAGGTTTCTGACTGATGACTGACCAAGAGAAAAAAGGGAATCAATGATTGTGTTAGAATCTGCATAAAAGAACCAATTAGAATTATATGGATGTCCATTTAATTTTGCAGCATCCATTATGATAGTTTAAAATAATCTCTATTTATAAAGAAGCATATAAAATAATGCAAGACATCAAAATGAAGGCATCTTCAAAAGTACAGCATGAAGACATATAATGGATCACAAAAATTCAGTCATATAAAAGCATTGCTGAAGAAGTCCTCCATGGAGTTTTCTCAAAGGAAAATGGTCATTGGAGGTCACATCAAGTATAAGCGCTCAGCTCAGCTCAGGGACCATAAGAAGCTATAATCTTTACATTTCCAAAAAGGTTGATAAACTCGATCATTTCATTTCGAGTTGCACTGTTGACTACTTTGATCTCTTCAACTGTGGAGTTGGTTTCAGGCGTGTCCTCGGCTAAGATGGCCATGGAGACAAAGAAAACAGCCTCTCCTCTGCTCTGGGTCTTCCTCTAGGTGATGGGACCCCCAGGTGCAGCGCCCACTTGCCTGGCACTTGGTTCAGCATCACGGCTGCAACCCTCCAAACAAGCGGGAAGCAAGATTTGCCCTTGTCCATTTATACACAACTGCATACATTTCAGAAGGTGGAGCTGGAACTCCCAGGCAGGAAATCACAGAATCAGGAGGGAGACTGCTTCTCAGTCACTTCCTTGAGTACATGCAGTTGCAGATGTTTCGGTTACGTCACTCCAAATTTTTGTTGTGACAAGACAAAGAACCGAGGAGCATACACTCGCCTGACAGTTACAAGGGTAGAAAACAGTTTCAAAGTTCTTAAGTTCAAAGTGTCATTAAATATGAAAGACAATCCTCTATATGTATAAGCAAAAAAAAAAGGAAGCCAATGTTAGCAGGTCACCGGGAGTTAAGAAGGCCACAGGCATGTAGAAGAAATCTGATTCAAAGACTGAGGAACTGGCCCTAAAACAAGCAATACAGACAGCAGAAACATGAACCCAGAGGAGAGGAAGATTCTATAATGGAGGACAGATGTGGAAAAATGTTATTAATATAAGGAGGATAGTCTTGCCTCAAAACGAAATGAAATATATTCACTCATCTGAAAAAGAGAAAGAAAATTCGCTAGATCTTAGTTATCAGGACTGTATTTAAAATACTGTGTTTCTTTTATGTGTCACAGAGGAAGACAGCTCACGCTCTTCCTTGAAGACTGTTGTAACTGAGGGAGATCAATCCCTTTGCCTTTTTACACAGAAATCACTGTACCTGTGATGTTCAAGATGAAGCATCATTAAACTGAAAGCAAAAGAGACCACAGACAGCTAACCTTGTATCTCCACAGAGAAAAAGTCCTACTGAGTGTTTAGGGAGAACTCCCAGGGTGAGGAACTGCAACTAGGGTTGACTGTTGCACATTTCATCTGAGTGATGATGTTGTCATGACGGGGCTACCTTCAGGAGACAGGAACCCTCATCTCAACTATGCCAGCCTCATTCCATTAATATTTGTCAGTCTGTAAAATAATTGCACTCTTCTGATTTTTTAGTGGGCTACTTCTAAGGGTTCTAACATACAACCAATAATCAATAGAAGGTTGGTTCTAGGCTGGTCTTAGGGCTTCCCAGGAGGCTCAGATGGCAAAGAATCTGCCTGCCAGTACAAGGAGACGCAAGAGACAGGGCTTGATCCCCCGAGAAGGGAATGGTTACCCACTCTAGGATTCTTGCCTGGAGAATTCCAGGGACAGAGGAGCCGGAGCCTGGCGGGCTACAGTCCAGGGGGTCATGGCTCAGTGACTGACACACGCGCTGGTCTTAGCCAGGCCTGAAAGGACGCAAGCAGATTCCATTCTCCAGCAGAGGGCAGCGCCCCATAAAAATTACCCAAAGGTGCAGCATCTTTGTCTATCACCATGCATTTGCTGTATTATTATTTTATGGCCATGTAGCTTGTGGGATCTTAGTTTCCCAACCAGGAATTGAACCTGGGTCCCCGGCAGTGGAAGCACAGAGTCTGACCACTGGATCACCAGGGAAGTCCCTCTGTATTATCGAATATTTATTATTTAGTGTCACAAAAATGGAAGGCTTGTTCATACAAGTTATCTTGAATACTGATGGGCAATCCAGGCAAACAATTTAAGCCTTAACTATTTAAAATCTTATAATTTTAAGATTAATTGAAATTAGTTAATAATTTAAATGACTCTGTGCTTTATTTGTATCTTCCTTCCACGTGAGTCTTCCTCTGTGTGCATAGGTCCTGGGTGTGTGTGTGGTGTCTACTTTGCTTTCCATTCCCTTGCAAGTAGTAATTTTCTATTGCAACCAAATAAAATGCATATTACATAGAGCCGCAACACATAACACCATAACATTGCAGGTGGGAGTTTTGTTTAAAAGAGTGTACCTTGGAACTTAGCTAAGAAGAATTCATCCTTCTAATAGCAAAAGGACATCATCGAAAGCAGATTAGTTCATAGTATGGTCAATTCAACATGGATTCCTACAGAAGAAAGCTTTTAAGTATTAATGAATACATTTTAACAATTATTTGATCAATCAGTCATAAAGTAATTCCCTTCCTTTCCACTTTGACCTTTGTAAAGTATCAGCATAGTCAGGCTAACACAGTATTTATCTACTAAAAATAAACTTTAAAGAAAATTATTTAGGGTTACTACAGAATTGTGTTATAGTTCTACTTTAGTTGAGATTTACTTTTGATATTTCTGTATGTAACACAGATGAAAGTCATCCTCCATTTGGTCAAAGTCTAGAATCTAAATGAACTTTAATTAAAAACAATTTTTGGTTAAATCTCTCTCTGCTAATATACTGTTAATAATTAAAACTTTTCCTTAGGTAAATGCCAATGAATATAGATGTCGATATGTGCAAATAATGATAGAGTGAAATTAAAACAACATACTTATATCAAACTCCTATTTTTTTTTAAATCCCTTCTATCCTGGCACTTCCGCTATGCAATTATAATAGAAACTTAAACTTTTATAGCCAGTGATGAAAATTATTAGCCATCAGGCTTTGGAACTAATGCTGCAAAATGGAGAGCTGAGTGGGTGGTGCTCTGTGGTCTCATGGTTTCTCTGTAATTCCTGAACATAAAGATAAAGGAGCGTTCTTAGCTCTGCCCATAGCTGAACCATCTGCATTCTTGTGTCTTAACATTTCTGATCCAACTCAAAGGTAATTTCAGCCGACATTTATGAACCATAGCCACGTTCGGGTATCTATGAGGGTAAGTTCTGTCTAAGCTTGGGGGGAATTCCCTGGTGGTCCAGTGGTTGAGACTTTGCCTTCCAATGCAGGGGGTATGGGTTCAACCCCTGATCAGGGAACTAAGATCCCACATACTTCTTGGCCAAGAAACCAAAACATAAAATAGAACAATATCATAACAAATTCAATAAAAACAAATTTTAAATCCAAAATGCTTTAAAGACGGTCCACATTTAAAAAGAAAAAAAAACTTGAAAAAAAAGTCAGCTTTGAGCTTGAAATCTGCAGTTTGGAAATTTGGAAACATGTCCCACAGGACATTTGTCATGCTGGGACCCCCCCCCCACTTCTGTCACAAGGGGGTGTTATGATCCAAGGAGCGATGACCCTCTGACTTGAGGGTCTGGAACCACAAAACACTAAATAAGCACACCCTTTTGGTTCCATTTCCCTAAATGTCCATAATAAATGTGAAAGGCTCATTTGCACTTTCCCACAGTACATTTTGGGCTAACATATGAGCACATGTCACACGCAGCCTAACGAAAACCCCGAGCGTACGTGCTTGTGCATGCTCAGTCGCGTCCGACTCTTTGCGGCCCCGTGGACTGTAGCCCACCAGGCTCCTCTGTCCATGGGATTCTCCAAACAAGAATACTGGAGAGGGTTTTCATTTCCTACTCCAGGAGATCTTCCCGACAGGGATCGAACCGGAGTTCTCGCATCTCCTGCACTGGCAGGCAGATTCTTTACCATTGCTCCACCTGGGATCCCGAACACGGTGCCAAATCAAATGCTCTGTACAGTGCCAAGAATACAGCAGACAATCAACACCTAACAACCACCCCACTGGACATCAAGTTGCAAAAGAACCCAGTTTTTAAAACTTACATTTTATTTCTGACTGCTGCTTTGGGTACATCTTTTGATAAACTTGGCATTTATCTGCTAAATCTGACAAAACGAGCTAGGTGTGACTAACACTGACTAAGTCGGAAGTGATCAGTAGGTCTCTACAGTACTTTTGCAAGTTTAGAGATAACATTTGATGACTACATACCAGCAACCTCTGTAACAAACTGCTGTAAACAGTGGGAAAAAAAATGTCAGTGGTTGAGAAAATAACTTTGAGTTAATCCTAATCTTTCTTGTACTCCTATCAATGTTAGTCATCATTTTTGCTTCTTTTAGTCAGGGATTTATACAGAATCCTCTCACACTGGATGAAGTACCTTAATTTTCTAAGCCTACGGCCAAAATCAAATAGCACTTTTATGAAATTGTCAAGTAAACCAAGGCTTCCCTCCCATCCTCCACACCTTCCACAGTAAACTATCAAACAAGACTACCGGATATTCTCTGGATGTAATCTTTTCATTTGGTTTAAAATCCTCTAAAATTTGGATTTTAAAGCACAGCTCCCCTTCCAATATCATCTTAAAGATTTCTCTTTCTTGGCTAATGTGTTGGGTAATACTGAGGCTCTGTCTTCAGCTGAGATAGTAGGTTTTAGAGGGGTTGCCTTTCACCCATGGGCTGAATTGTGATGTACAGTACCTGAACTGTACAATATTGTGATGGTTTTTGCCATATATCAGTATGAATCGGCCAGAGGCATACATGTGTCCCCTCTATCCTGAATCCCTCCTCCCTCCCCAGATTTTTATTTATTTCTCAACTGAGCTTTCTCTCTGGGGCAAAAACACTTGACCTGATAGAAAAGACGTAGAAATAAATACTAAATTAACTTTTGAAAAGTCAAGGATACTGGCAGGGCCAACTCTTTGTCAATACCTTTCCCGTGGTCCTTATTACCCTGCTAATTCCTGACTTTGTCTTCCCAATAACTAGTTGTTTTGATAAATATTTCTCTTGAAAATACTCGAGCAAAGACCTCTTTGACAGCGCCCAGAGTTTGAATAAGAAAGGCGGCACCTGTATCCTGGAGTGTAGCACTACATAATGCCAGCAACCTGTAAGTTCACTTTGTAACAAAAGTGTAACAGGCTAAAGGGTGGCTGCTCTCTGTGTGTGGGAGTGTCCTTACTCATCAGGGATCTTGTGGATGATGACTTTTGGGGGCCATCAACCATCTTAGTTCCAATCTCAATCTTCTGTATTTAAAGGAGGGGAACTTTTATTTTCATCATGGCATGAATCCATTCTGATTATAGCTTTGGCCCTGGTCCCCGTAGGAGCTTACAACACATTTCCCCCAATTCCAGATTCAAATATTAAATTAAAACAGATGTGCAAAACTAAAGGAAATTCCACCACCAAAAACATACCCGACCCCTCCACAAAACTGCCAGGTCTGGGGAAAACCAGTGTCCATGGTTCCGGGTCCTTCTCCTAAACTTGAAAAGGAACAGAGTCAGGACTTTCCCAGCGGTCCAGTGGTTAAGACTCCACGCTCCCAATGCAGGCAGCATGGGTTTGATCCCTGGTTAGGGAACTAAGATCCTACATGCAGCACAGTGTGGGAAAAGAGAAAAACAGAACAGATTCACATTGCTCCTTAACCTGCGCTTGTTTCAACGTCCGAGAGGCCAGTGAGAAGGAGCCGAGGTCTAGAAGTTCCTGGGGTGCTCTCCACGCCGCCGCTTGGGCCACTCCTCGTCCACCCACCTGCGCAGCACCTTCTCCACGTCGGCCCGGTGGTACAGCCGGCAGAGCTCCATCAGCTGGCCCACCGTCCTCTGACTGTTCCGGAGCAAGAACTCCAGGGTGGGGCTCTGGGGTCGCTGCTCCAGGAAGCAGAGCTCGTCGTAGGGCATGCCCCACTTGCTCGCAAAATTTCTCCAGTTTTTGACTGTTGGGTGACAGGGATCCAGCTTTATCCTGATCACATCTAGTAAGTCCTGGTCGTTGAGCAAGTCGCTGATGGTGGGGACTCGGAGCGCACAGGAGGGACAGGAACAGGTCTCCGCGCAGGACGCATCCTTGCTCACATCTGCAGGGTAAACCACAGGGTGCGCGTGTCAGCAAGAGGCCCCAGACACGTGCTTATCTCTCCGGTCCACTATTTTCCTACTGAATTGCTCATAGCATCAGGGTAAGTACAGCACCTATTTCAGGATACTCGCTTCTACATATTCACCAATAACGTCTTATTCTTTGCAGTCAAGAACAGCTGCTCTGTTGGAAGCAGTGGCAAGACTTTATAAAGCCAGTGTTCCTTTCTTTCTGAGACTCTGTCCCCCAGGCTGCCCATTTGTGAGCCTGCCGGCCAGATGAGAGCTCCAAAGAGCAGAGCTCTCTCCGTGGGCAGACAGCCAGTCTAGGAGGGGTGGACTCTGCCATCCCAGGAGAAACCAGCCCATTCTCACCTCCTTAACCCTCTCGCCCCTTCCAAATTACAAGTCAGCCTTGTCAGCTTTTTAAGGTCAAGCACAGCATGTCAGGGTGTATTGCACAATTCTTCAAAAGGTCTTCATTAAAAAATAATAACACGCACAACCTCAAACTGGAATATCCACTCCAAACGCATATTTGAAAATGAGTGATAACTGATAATGCCAGACTTTTCAGATTTATGGCCACCTTATCACGGCTTTGCCTTTATTTATTTTTAACACATAGGGCTGCCTTTGAAGTGGAGCCAATACCCTGAGGTGTGTGCAGTGGGCTGGGTGAGTGGGTGGCTTTGAGCTCAGCCTCCCCAAGAAGGGGGCTTCCTTGGTGGCTCAAATGATAAAGAATCTGCCTGCAATCCCGGAGACCCAGGTTCAATCCCTGGGTTGGGAAGATCCCCTGGAGAAGGGAATGGCTACCCACTCTAGTATTCTTGCCTAGAGAATTCCACGGACAGAGGAGCCTGGTGGGCTACAGTCCATGGGGTCTCAAAGGGTCAGACATGACTGAGCAACTAACACTTTTGCTTTCACCAAGAACAGCAGTCCCAGCACAGAGGAAGGGCCACCTTCCCATCCATCATCTCTGGCCTCCCTGCTGTATCTGGCAGTATCTACTAAGAGGATGAAGCTAGTAGGTATGCAGTAAATAGGTTAGAGGTTAAGAGGTTAGTAGGTAACAGACAACTCTTACAGTTGTCAGTACAGGTGTAAGCGGGGTCTGCACAGCAACCCAAGTGAATTAAAACTCTGCAACTGCACTGAATCTCCTAGCTCCTCTCACTGGGGATATTTAACCACCAGAGATGACACTAAAGATGACTGGCTTGGAAAATTCTGGGAGGTTATGATGCCTTTTTCTACAGTGAACTGTGTGGACAGTCCAACTTAGGAAAGTAAAAAATTTGGAGAAAAAAAAAAAAAAGGAGTCACTCTGGTTATCATAAATTTGAGAACTAGAAATTTTGAGGCAAATACAAAGTAAAAGATAACAAGAGCCATGAAAATTATGCTCATGCTCTGACCTACTAATATAACTGCTGAGAATCCAGTCAAAGGAGATCATCTAAAACATGTGTGTACCTGAACATTTATCATTATAGTCTTACTCTTATCATACATTAAAAAAAACTTAAAATCAAAGTTAGGGGACTAGTGAAATCATTGTTACTATTTTAAGGAATATTATCTAAGAAATTATGAAGACTATAGCAACCTGGAAAATGTGTGTGCTATCATGTTAAGTGAAAAATGCAAGATGTAAGGAAATTATGTACTCTGATTAAACCCTTGGGAAAAGTCTCTGTTCATATTACCATGGAAGGAAATGGACAAAAATAATCGTAGCTTCTGTGGTTAATGCAGGATTATGTTTTTATTTTCCAGACTTTCTCAGTGTGTGTGCGGCGTGTGCTCAGGCGTGCGCTATGTGCTCAGTCGTGTCCGGCTCTCTGCGACCCCGTGGACTGTAGCCCGCCAGGCTCCTCTGTCCATGGGATTCTCCAGGCAAGAGCACTGGAGTGCGTTACCAGGCCCTCCTCCAGGGCATCTTCCTGATCCAGGGATCGAACTTGTGTCTCCTGCATTGGCAGGCAGAGTCTTTACCACTGCACCACCTGGGATTATGTTTCTATTCTCCAAACTTTCTCTAGTGGTGGTTATATTTCGACGGTAATGAAAACCATGTATTACATTAACAAACATATTGTTCAGCACTGAGCAAATGTATCAATGCAGCATCCCTCCTTTTTGCCAAGCTTCACTTACCCCTTTGAGGTCACCTCTTCCTACCTTCCCCATGATTTATTTCATCAAATACCTCCTTTCCTTCCCCTCACCTCCAGACACCCATCTCTACTGATTCTCTTTCCTTTATCCACAGATAGGTATACGCTCCTCTATCATAAAAAATAAGAACCTCAAACTGCCACTCTCTGGTTTATAATTCACTGAAGGACTTTCTCTTACTCTTCATTTCTTTACTGTTTTAAAAATATTTATTATTATTTTGGGGGCTACACCACATGGCATGTGGGATCTTAGCTCCCCAATGAGGACGAAACCCACGCAACCTGCAGTAAAAAGCTCAGAGTCTTAACCACTGGACTGCTGGGCAAGTCCCAATTTACTGTTAAACTTCTAAAAGGAGAAATCAAAACCTGTTGCCTACAATGCCTCACCATGTTATTAATCTTCACTTTCTTTGGCTTTGAGCAGCGTCTGACCAGGCCCATTCTTGCCAACCCTGTAGAGACCAAACCCAGTTCCCCATGCCCTGCCTGTGGACCAGAGTCCAGTTCTGATGGGGTAGATAAATCCAGAGATGCAGATCCCCACCTGGCTTGGAGGATCTGCTGCTGCTAACGCGCCCATCACATCACTCCCCTTGGATCTGCCTGCCTCTAGAACTGAGCCCAAGATTTTGTGCCCCTTTGAACACTGTCTATTGCACTGAAGACGGTGTTTTCCCAGAACTCAGGCCCCTTATCCCCAAGCACATCCTACATTGTCCAGGCCACATCCCTTTTCCTGTCTGCCCGACTCACTGCAATCCCAGCCTGTCTCACTGCCAAGTCCCTGGGAGTTAAAAGGAGGTGCTCTGGTCCTGTTCTTAGCCTAAGGCTTTCCTCTTCTGCATTGTGTCCCTTTGGTCTTCTCCGCCCCCAACAACCTCCACAAAGATCTCCCACTAGAATGGAAGACCCTTTCTTTTTGCATCTACAGGATCCAATACAGCCCTTGACACACTGCAGCGAACACTTAACCAACGTGGACTGAGTGAATAAATGAATGGCCAACCCTGCCAGCTCACCTGGGCTCCAGAACTGGCTACTAGAGCGTCTCTTGATGTTCAGATGACATGTCCAACTCAGAGGACCCAATACAGTACTTATATTTCTCCTGCTATGCACCCAAAGCCCCTCAAGTCCCCTAATGACATCTGCAACTCATCAGCATCCTTACAGACTTTTTTTTTTCTATCTAACCAGTTACCAGGGTCCCAATCTCCCCCGGAAGCTCTCCATACCTCTCTTCCATCTTATTGCCCATGGTTTCCTTGAATATAATCTGGGCTCCAGAGAAAAGGGACTACTCACTTCCTAAATAGACAACCTGTATTTTCTTTGCTTCAAAGTTTAATAAAATGAAAAGGAAAAAATATAAGCTCAGTGTAGAACATTAAAAATTATACTCAGTTATGAATTTTGTGTAAACTTGAACATTTAGGGTTTCCCCATAGTTGCATGACTATGAGTAACAATTTAATGCAGACCCTTACATCTAAATTTTTGACCACCTCTTTAATGATCTCACCAGTAACTATTAGGCTGAAAAATATAACCATTTTAAGGCTATCAGCACCTATATCCTAAATTGCTTTCCAGAAATAAATGCTGTATCAATTTACACTCTGTAAACTCTAAGAATAGTGATGGTGCATATCTCAGTTGACCTTTGTTAGCATCAAGTAACACTTTTATTTAAAAAGATCTTTGTCAATTGCACAGGTGGAAAATAAAGATTTCCTGCAGGACTTTTCTGATGTTTTCTCTCTTATCAGTTCTTTCTCTTCTTTCTCTTTCCCTCTCACTGAACTTCCTCTCATTGAACTTCCCCTCAGCTACTAAACTTATCTATCCTATGAAACCCACCTCAGAAACACCCCTTCATTAAATCCCCTGGCTCTGCCTGCAATGCCGTCTCATCCATAGTCTCTTCATTGTGTTTGCGTCTCCTGACTTTGCCTCGCAGTGAGATATTCCATATGGTCTTTGTTGTTGCACCTTCAGGGCCCTGAGAAAAGATCCATATCCTTCTGCAATGTGTTACACATCTTAGAGTTCTAGATTGTTGAATTACATTTCTGTGTAATATAGTAAGAGTTATTCTTCTGCTCCATTAATAATGGTGTATCTGGAAGTGAGACTTTAGCTCCATGATGGGATAGAAATTTATTTATAAAGAGTTTTCTAACACTGAATGTGGTTTTTGAAGTACAAGGGGGAAACTGTGCAATTTTCTTTGCCCTTATTTAAAAGTAGAGTCAGAATCCAGGGAACTCAAATTGGAGCTCTGTAACAACCTAGAGAGGTGGGATGGGGTGGGAAGCGGGAGGGAGGTTCAATGGGAAAACATATGTACACCTATGGCTGATTCATGTTGATGTAAGGCAGAAACCAACATAATATTGTAAAGCAATTATCCTTCAATTAAAAATAAATTTTTAAAAAAGGTGGGAATACAGAAAAAAAGTAGAGTCAAAATAATACTTTGTCAAGTAGAAAAGAAAGCAGTTTACCAAAGGGTATGGATAATTCAGTTTTCGTAAAAACAAAATAATACAGTAATTTTTATCCACATAAAGCTTATATTATACACACATTCATGGGCATAGGAAAAATCTAGAAGTATGGATAAAAACATTAACAATGGGTGTTCCTAATTTTCTATAGTTACTATGTTTATTTAGATACCTAAAATATATTTTTTTAAATGTCACAAAAAAATAAACGATTTATATCTCTATGTCCAGAATGAAATGTATTGCTTTCTGAAGGTCTGCTCTGTATTACCTCCGTAAGACTCGGGGTTTTAGCCA